TAAAATGATACGAACTCAATAAATTATTTCTTTATTTAAGAATTGTAAAATAAAAATTTAATAATTTTAAAATATGATAACTGATGGTAAAATATGCCTAATTTCTCTGGATGTATAAAAATAAAAAATTAGGTTGTTATAGGTATATTTAAAGATTATATACGAGTATTTGTCATACATTACAAATTAATTTAAAATTACAAAATAAAATTCTTATAATGTCATATAAAAATAGCAAATAATAATTAAATTTAATTAATGGAAAATATATATTATGTAATAATAATAATAATAAAAACTTGGTAGTTTGATGTAAGCATAGTATGTTTTCAGTTTTGAGTGTATTGAGTGATAGTAGATATATTAATGAGTAAAATGAGTTACTGTCATGGTTTTTTAAATTTTAATTATTATACTAAATCATTGCATGAAAATTACAATTCTGAGCGGAATCGGCGAAAATATATAAGAATATTTTAATATTTAATAATTTCATCACCATTATAAAAAATAATAATTAATTTTACAATGATGTGCAATTTTTTAAACTTTTTTTGTTTAAAACTTTTAAATTAAAAATTGGTGATAGATTTTTTTTATCATTACCTTTTAGAGCAGTAAAATTCATTGATTTTCAACTTTGGGTGTAGTTTCTGATAAATTTGAGTTAGGTTTGCATGTGGCAGTTTACCAATTGCGCTTAAAATTACCTTTTCGTGTATTAATTACGCTCAAAAAATTTTTCAATACCAAAGGAAAACTTATTAGTTAATTATATAATAAAATATAAATGATTACACTAACTGATTTTTTTGAGAGTATCAATATAAAATATATGTGCATAATACATAATATAATATAAATTAATATTTTTTTTCCATAAAATAACCGACACTGATAAAAAATATATTTTAACCAGTCACTTTAACTTATAATAAATTGATCAATAAATAAGTTTTTATTTTTTGGGATTAGATCGCACAACAATATTTTCATATCTGCAKAAAGTAGTCGGTAAGGAAATTTGAATACAAGCGCAATTATTGATAAATTTACACTAAAATACAAATTTTGTTTTGTGCGTATTGGTCCATGTCTAAGTTTGCCATTCATCATATTTTTAGATCATGTATTAATTTATTTGTACTTTGTAGTAGTACGTTATAGTCAGGTATACCTGCTTAGTGCTTACTATTATTTGTTCTTAGTTTAGAATTATACAGTATAAGTTCAACAATATCTTTTTTAATGACCTCTTTACATGTTTTTGTATCAGATGACTGAGACCATTGAAGTACAGAAGAGAGGAATTAAATAACCACTGTAATATAAATAATGTTGTGACTTCATAAATTTAAGTAAAATTAGTAAAATTACGCCATKGGTCGAGAAAATTCAAATATTTTGTGAACATTTTGAGTATCTACAATAATTTGTTTTTGAGTTAGTGAGTTACAATAAAAATTCCATAAATATTCCTGATATTTCCGATCATTTTGAAAAGTACTGCATCACATGTTTACTTTTAACCATTTCGTCCGACTTCAAACCTAATTCAATTTCAATGTCATACCAGAAACGAGAAACCACCTTTAAAGTTAAAGATTGAAGCATTTTTTTCTCAAAAAGATTGTGGCGTATACAAAACTATAATAAAAAAAGAAAAGACATAATTGTAAAGCCAATATAGGCACATTAATTGGCATATTATTGCCTTGATTAAAGTTTAAAATAATTTATTAATACAAACTTAAGTAACAAAAAAAGCGGGTAACTCGTGGATGTCGCTCTGCTGTACCTATACTATTAAATTATTGTATACGAAAAACGATTCTGAGCGGAGACGGTTTATCTGTATAGGATATATTATATATTATTCAAAATTTTCAAATCTGATTTAAAAAGAAAAATTGTTATGAATTTCTATCTAAAATATTTACACAATAATATATAGGTATTATATAGCATATTTGATAAGGGTTACAATAATACATGAGCACATGAGTAAGAAGCCACCCACTATTGACACTTGACTGGAAGTTGTATGAAACTAGCTATATTTATAAATACTGATTCATTTTTTTTTTTTTTTTTTTTTTTTTTTTTTTTTTTTTTTTTTGATATTAGTTCCCTAGCAAGTCACGGCACCAGCTCCTTTTTAATCGACGCTTGGGGTTGCCAGGTAATGTTTAGGTGGATAAGTTTTTAATGAGTGAGTTTTGGTGTGTTTGCAGCCGGGCATGAAAAATTTTGTGGAAACGCATAGCTTCTTCTGTCACGGTTTTAATCGACGGATCATTATGTATAGTGTAATTCGAAACAAAGGGTGKAGCATTARTAATTTTCCGAAGAGCAATATTCTGAAATTGTTGAATTTTGTTAGTATTGGACGCTTTTGCTGTACACCATAGTTGAAGACCATATGTCCATAGAGGTTTGAGTAATGTTTTATACATAAGAACTTTAGTTTTTGAACTGGAGTGTTTGTTATTTGTGAGTAGCGTTCGTAGTATGCGAATACGGGCGTTTAAGGCAAGTATTTGTATACGGATATGGCTATTCCAAGTGAGGCACTTGTCCAAGTTAAGTCCAAGATATCTAACTGCGACAGATGTGGGGATAAGTTTATTATTTAAATAGACATTAGGACAAATGGAATGGCATAAAGTGAATGTTGTACGTACTGACTTATTGGGATTAAGTTTAATGCGCTAATTGGTGTACCATTCAGACTTTAGGTTGAGATGAGTTTGAAGATTTGCTGAGGCATAATCAGCTATTATACAATAGTATTTTAGGAGATAGGCTGATCAGAAGTGTAAATATTAAAAAGAAAGGGAGAGAGGATTCCACCCTGGAGAACTCCAGCTAAGATTTTCTCGAATTTGGATACTGAGGAACCAAACCGGATTTGAAAATGACGGTCGCTTATATAAGACTTAATTAATAAAAATAAGCAGGGGGAGAGAAATTTTTTTAGTTTAAAAAGTAATCCCTCGTACCAAACTCTATCAAACGCTTGGCTGATGTCGAGAAAGACACAAGTGCAATAATACTTGTTTTCAAGGGAGCACGAGATTGCGTCAACTAATCTATGTAGTATGTACCTGGTGTATTGTATTATGCGCTGATTGAAAACCAAATTATGAGACAGGTAATATCTTGTTTCTAAAATGTACGGTAACAGTCTTTTAAGTATCAGTCTTTCTAGTATCTTACCTAGAAAAGGTAATAGACTTATTGGTCTGTACGAGGAAGGTAGATCAGGTTAGATTAGGTCACACATTCATGATTAATATAATATTATCATTTATAAATATATAACTTACTTAAAATTTAATACTTTGAATAATGAATACATTATAATTTTTAAGTATTAAATTAAACATGTTAAGAGGTTAAGAGTCTTATTTAAGTAGATATATTTACAAAATAATTAGTGATTAATTTTTACAATAGGACTCGTCGTGTCACTTTGTTAAATTAACTAAATTTTTTTAAATATTTTTTAGATTACCAATGAGCCATACACTCAAAATAGTATAATTACCATGTAAGTATGTTTTTGAAATATTATATTTTATTAATATTCATAAGTAGGTATCTGTAATATAACTAATATAAGCATAGGCGCAAATCGCAGGGGGCTAAAGGGGCTTAGCCCCCTCAATATCAGTGTCCTACAAACTATTAAAAACTCAATAATTTTGAAATTTCATTAGTGTACATTCTTTTTCTATCATTCATATACCTATATGTATGTATTTATATAAAAAAATAAAATAATCACAATTAAAATATTCAAAAATATTGTGTAGGTACCTATATGTATACTTAATAGATACGTAGTTTGAAGATTATGTAACTTTTCATGCTACGGTATAATAATATATTAGGTATACCTATAATGTTTTTACGATAAATACAATAGGTGAGTACCATATTGTACCAATATGATGCCATATCTCGCATTTGTATCCACGGATTTTTTTCAACGTATAAATAGTCATGCAGGGCTTAAGCCCCCCTCCCATTTCCCACCCCCGTAAAATTTATCCAATTTGCGCCTATGAATATAAGTATAATCAGTATTAAGTAGGTATAGGTACTTACTTTATTATAGTATATATTTCGTGTAAATTAATAAATCACAATTCAAATATTTTTGAACATCGTAAATAGCAGGGGATATGATACAAATATTTTGTGAAGTAAAAAAAATATGATATACCTACCTAATTTGTTCGGTCGTTTGTCGTATTTCATGAAATCATGATACATATAACGATACAAACGTTTCGAAATCTACAAAACGATAGAAAATGTAACATAATAAATATGTAGTTGTATATATACATTTTTTTTTGTAACTTGTAAGTTGGAGAATTGTCACGGTATTTTCTAAAAGAGTTAAAAACAAATCTTCAAGGTATTTCAACAATTATAATAAGTTACCATCTTTCATAAATAGTTCTAAACATTTAACAGCAGATTAAATTGAATTACTGAGGGTTTGAATGTGTACCTACAATAATCGAAAGTTTGGGATTTTCGAGGTTAGAAAATATAAATTCGATTAATGTATGACCAATATTTAGAAAAAATATTTTTAATTTAACCATTATATAAATACACGATATTTACGGATATCCGTTGTAACCTTTCAATTAGAGACACGTGGGGTGACTGGTGACATGCAAAGATGTGTTCATCCATAATATTTACAAATACATCATAATAGGTACCTACATATGAGTCCAACATGTGTCATATATTATACATAATGCACAATGCACATCTAAAATTGAGATAAAAAAAAAATTAAAGGATTTTAAAATCGTGCACGCACTCATTTTTTCTATACATACATTATATTATGTATTTATGTGTATTATCCATATAAATTTACTGCTTATACATTAGATTACATACTAATTATTATCATACCCACGTTTATTGACTACTCTATATCAGCTAATATATATGCTCGTGTGCATTACCTTACTATTCGGTGCAGTCTGACGTCTGCTGTCGCAGTGTCATCCTCGCTGAGGTTGTGAATAAACGAACGATCGTGCCGTATATATTGTTAGAGATAGAGGTTTGTCAAGAGGTAGTGAGAGACATTGTTTAAAATGTATACACTGATCAAAATAATCCACAAAATATTTTTTACTGTGGTTAAAAGAGTCACGGAAGTCGTAAACGAGCATGTATATTATATATATATTTATATGTGAGTGGGTAAATATATAATAGAGTGACCGCCGACCGGCCGGCCGGCCGGCTCTCGATGAATGGGGGTAAAGTCGCGGTGCGACGTCGACGGCGGAATGCGCGTGATTCCCCGAAACCAACGTGTAGACAGTGGTGGCGGCGAAAAGGGGTTTATTGATCTGCCAAACTAACCCCGGAGAGTCTGGGGTCGTTGCACCTCACGCACGCCGGGTCTACCGACGAGTAGGGTTCAATAACCCGTAAAATGCAGAGTTTCCTTATATACTTGTATAAATTATATTATAATATAATAGCTTAGCGAGTAATACATAGAGCACTCAGATATTCAAAATAAAAATACATAATAACACATTATATACATATATATATATATATATATATATATTATTGGAGTACCAAATAGAAGTTACTATGCAGTTAAGAAACATGATAAGAACAATAAACTTCAAGAAAATCTGGAGTATTTAAAGTTATTTAAAAGGAGGAATCAATAAATTGTTGGTCAGCTTTAATTGCGCCGTGAAGAAAGAGCTCGAATACGTAGGACTTCGCGAATAATTGAAAAGTCGTGGTGTGAAGTTGGGAAATTAAGAATACAAGAACAATAGATATTATAATAAAAATCTATTTTAAACATTTCCAAGGCGAAGCTTTGCAAGAAAAGCGTGAAAAATAACCACACCATATTTTAAAAGAGGCCTAACGGCTAACATATAAAAAGTATAAAGTTTGGACTTTCGAAGACAGTTGGCTGATTTAAAATCGTTGTCGTTCCGTTTAATGAAATCAAAAAGACTTTTAGTATACTTCTACGAGTTTCTACTATTTACGGTAACATGTATGTGATGTTCAAAATAATGAGAGAATGTAGACAAAAACTCGTTGGTGTTGAAAATTATTCAGAAAACAAGAGAAAAATGGAGGTGAACGAAATCTGGAGAAAAAAGTAACACTTACTCAATTTGAAAGTTGATTGCCAATGTTGGTGACCGGAAGACTATTTTATAAGCTATATTATATATTATTCAAGTATGCATTATTTGAGGTCAACAATTTGAACATTTAACAACATTCAACTATCGGTCATTCGGTCATAGAGGATTATTGACAAATGTAATTAATAACATTCCATATAGTCGTGCCATGTTCCATCTTCCATTTTCCATATATTTAACTATTTAGGTAACACAATAACTACTTACAATACTCGCTACTGCGAGATTCATATACTTTAGATACGATATAGTAAAAATCCGACTTTATATAATCTTAAGGCGGGTTTCCACACATTCACGTGTAGTGTGCCGTATAAACTAAAAAATATGTTCGGCAATCCAAGAACACCGCGGTAACGTGGTTAATCGTGTTGTACAAACACTCTGGTATATAAAAGCTTACCACGGGTATCAACCAATCACAGCACAGAATTTTTATGCACGCGCACACGAACGGGTATAGAAAAAACCTGAGGCCTTTCCTGAAAGAAAATAACGTTTATAATCTTATGGCCGACGTGGGCACCTCTATCGTGGTATATAATAGTTACCGAAACGACTGTAGTCCTCTATAATATTTATGTGATGTGCGGCGTGCACTTTAAAACTTGTGGGATTTCGCTAACGGGAGCGACTATATTAAGTGGCCCATACACAATCAATATTATCGTCATCAATTRGTATCAGAATGGCTCAAATCAAAACCGAAATATTTGCGAATTTTTAGGATTTGACGACAACTACCCGTTAGAATAATACAGGGCCTCCGTGACTGAGGCCCGGCGTTCATTCAAATAATTCCTTCAATATATAATAGAAAAATGCTTCGAAATTAATTGTTATTTAAGAGGGGCCCTGTACCAAGACCAAAAATATGATATGGGGTTGGGCTGCGTTAGAAATATGAAGATATATGCATTTTTAACCTGAAATATAAATTTTAAATAATACACACAAAACGTACATACATTTATGCATAAATAATTAATTATCATATTAGATCAGCGATTAGAGCCACCCGGCACTATATAAATGTTTAGCTATACACTGTCGAAAAACACGAACAATCATTTTAAAACATTAGATCTTTTGTCGTCATAAAAGTATAATACCTTCCAACCGACAAATAGTATATGTTCACAAATCCGCGATTGTATATTTTTCTTGTAGACAAATTACTAACATAATGTTAAATGACGAGTGCCGAATCATCATGTATGCAGATATTTATTTGACTAGTATAGATCGATCAGACTAAGTATTATAAAAATATAATATTTTGATTTTAGTTTCGCAATATGGAACACAATAATGGGAACATCCCTATTAGCAATGCCTTGGAGCGTAGAACGAGCAGGACTAGCGATGGGATTATTATTAATGTTCGTCATAGCAGCACTATGTTTATACACATCTAATCGCATTCTTAAAGTGCAAGTACTTCACGGTAAATATATTTCAAAAACCATGATTAAATGGCTCACCTCCCACAAATAGAATTGACAAAAGACAACTGATAGGTACTATTAGGTATATACATAAAATATATGTGACAATAACTAAAAAAATTGATAAATATTATTTATTTAAACATAAAAAATGACTGAGCGATAAAAATTACATTTTCTAATATTATAATGTTCATTCATTTTTTTAAGGAAATGATACCGGCGAAGTAGCACAATTGAGCAAAAAATTACTGGGCCCTTGGGCCGAAGTTATAGCGAAATTATTCTCGTTTATAATTTTACTGGGTGCCAACATAGTGTATTGGATATTGATGTCGAATTTTTTATATTATTCTGTCGGATATATTCACGGTAAGGGAAAATTGTAATTTTTTTAGACAAAATTATTGTATTATTGTAACCCACTGATAAACCTATATATATTCATACATTTTTGGCACGGATGCAGATTTACTCTTTGCGGACGAAAGCACCGGGTTGTTCGAATTCAACACTACTAACCGTAAGTTGGKATATTYAAATTTAAATCCATTATGCATCTGAATAAATTGTGTTTCGCCATAAGTATCGACTACGTTATTATGTGAACTTTTTAAGGTTTGAAGTWCGGAATTATGTGCAGTAGAGGTAAAATTTCAATAAAAAAAAATTGGTGGTTTGAACCTCCTTATTTCTCAGTTAATCCACAAACAGCATAAATTATTCGGGTGCTAATTTAATAAATTGAGGTGTTAATSAAATTAATCAACCCTTCCTCTCTCAAAAAAAATCATCTCACACCATATAAATTGCAATCATTTCGTTTCAGTAATATGCCCAAGCAATGCGGGCTACATAAATGCTACGTCCAACACGACCAGGCAGTTGACGTTATACGAACAAATTTGGGATCTCAACACGACGGTGCCGATATTTCTCGTCGTGATYGTTGCTCCACTGTTGAACTTTAGATCGGCCACGTTTTTCACAAAGTTTAATTCTTTGGGTAAATTATATAGCACTCCRCTATACACGTGGTKTAATTATATATAACAGTCGTCTTTGTCCCACAAGTCGGTGAATTATATTTATATATTTACATAATATGTTGTTTTTCGCTCGTTTATTCTTCATTTCAATTGGGCCAATGACTACTGATTAATATTGTGCAATAATTATTCATTTAGTTTTTGTGAGTATTTTCATGGGGAAATATACGATAAACGTGTTTAATTTACGTTTCCTTCAAATTTCAATGTTGGAACAATTTATCTGGTAGGTAGAATCTACCTGGTAGATAATTAAAAGTATATTATTATAATTTAGTAGTTTAGTACAATACACGTCATATACAGTTAAAAATTTTAAAACCTTAAATGCAGTTTTAAAAGAAAAATTTAGCAGGTACTTAWAATTCAGTTAAAGTAGGTATATTATATACTTACCTCCATACAAATAATGGTACCAAATCTTTAAAAAAATTTGTTGTAAATATATTTAGTGACACAGGGACAAACGCGACTGAATAATTTGTATCAGTGTATAGCAAACAATTCACCAAGCATGCTCATTCCATTTTTTTTCTACAGTAATGCAGACAATGCAGTTATTCAAAATCTGATTTTTATCATTTTTACATTTATTTACAAAGATCGTGTATTTAAATTTATTTTTTTAATTTTTGCTGAAAATGTATCAAAATCATAATTCAAACGAGTGGTTTAAGAGTTAATTTTACTCATTATATTTGTATTCTATGGATAAGATGCTCATTGCTCATGATAATGTGTTTGGAAAATGTGAGAGGCTGTAGCTATTTGGAAATTTTAGTCATTGATATTAATCTAGCAATATTTATAGTTAGTAAAAATGATTCAAGTATAATAAATACTAAATCCAATGAAATGATTTCATATTTTTGTAAATCCATTTTTAAGGACTATTATTCTAAGTTCTAACATTTGATAACTGGGAAAATATATATTCGAATTAGGTAAAAAAAAAATACACACTAAATAATTAATATTTATAATAAATAATAAAAAGTTTTCATTTGAAAACAGAAATTTCTATCTACACTAGATAATCTTAAGTGGCTAAAATAGTACAAAGAATTTCAAGAATTTGAAATTTTAAGTGCATATAAAAATTCTAGTAATTAKAAATTGAAAATGTTATTAAAGAAAAAAGGAATGAGCATAATAATTGGTGAATCACTATGTAGAAAACTTAAATATATTTAAATTATTTTCATAGGAACTTTGGCTGTACTGTATCTATTCATATTTGTCATAATAAAATCATATAGTTGGGGAATTAATATGTCTGCACCAACAATAGAAGGATYAACAGATTATTCTGAATTTTATAAAAACACATTTCCTGCAACATCTGGAATGCTTACATTATCAATGTTCATACATAATATTATCATTACAATAATGAGAAATAATGAAAATCAAAAACATAATGTAAGTAACTATATTTTTATTTTTTTAAATTAAATACTAATCGTGAGATTTTTTCAATATATTTAGGGCCGTGATTTATCAATAGCATTCACACTTGTTCTCTTAACTTATATATTGATTGGAATTACTTTCTATGTGTGTTTTCCATTAGCTAAATCATGCATCGAAGATGTAAGTATATTATAATAACTACTAGTATTACAACTGTTTTCTAAAGAACAAATTGGGACTAAAGTACAGAGCTCACTAACAGTCAATAATATGACTTATGAGCTATAACTCTAGTCTCTATTGTAGATAATAAAACACAATGATCATTATATAATACATACAACATAAATTAAAATTTTAARATCCAAATTCTAACAAATTATTTTATTACCTACTTAATAAATGATTTAATAATCTAACCTAATCTGTTTTTCAATCTTATAACAATAAAATAAAAATACACATTACTTATTCATTCACCTTTGTAGAATACAATTAGTATAAATTGTTTTTTTTTTGAAATTTAGAACAGTTGAAATTGKCATWACTATTTCTAATAATTGAATAACAWTTGTGTGCATAAACAGATTTAATCCTATAAAATATCAAACATTTAATTAATGATTTAAATGGAGTTTATACCTACATATGTTTACAAAGCAAATCACAACATAAAATATAACAAATCTGTGTCAAAAAAACAGTTTTGTGTTGTTAGCTTTAATATTGGTGAATCTCTACTTGTATTTTGGTCTTTTACAATATTTTAATTCTTAGGCATGTTTTGAGTATTTTAAAAATGCAACATTTTACATACTGATAACTTGCATAACTAATTAAAATATCATAAAAAATGAATGTATGTCACACAAATATAAAAAATGTTCTTATACAATTAACATTAAAGCTAATAACACAAAATTGGTTCTATTAAATTTAAATTACATAAGTTAAACCAAGTCCAAGTGTACAGCTGTATGTTTGYAGAGCTGGGCCGATCAATAGCGGCGCTCCTGGAAAAATAAAAATTTGCGCCCCCTCCCTAAATTTTCAAATTTAATTATATCAAATTTTGCGCCTCCATTCCTACTCCATTTTTTGCGCCCACCTTACCAGGCCCTCAGCCTGGCGCTGTATGTTTGTAAGACAGTGACAATCCGTGATGTAGTGAAGAGTACAATATTATTTTATGCATGTACCCTTAACAAAAATTGTGGTTTGCAAGTACACATCTCATGAACAAGATATTGTATTATTCAGTAAATAATATTTATTAAATTTTTATATCTAATGAGAAAAATAATAAGCATAATTTGTTTACTTATACAGCAGTCATCTGATCTGCACACAGATATTCTGTTAAAGAATTTTTTTAAGTTTAATTATCAGTAAATATATAATACCAATATTTATCAGGTCATATTGTATATTATATAGATGAATAAGTGGATACTCGTCAAATACGGTGTCTACTAAAATTCAATGTTAAGGGTGAATTGTGAATATACAATCCACATCCACATATGAAAATATTCGTTTTGTCCACCAAACATGTGGTAGATAGCATATGGGCGAGTACTGAATTGTTGGGGTAGAGGATATTTTTCTTTAGATAATTTTTTTCAAAATTATTAAGGAGTATACCCATACATTTTTTTAGAATTTCATTGCTGGAGATAACACCATGTGTGACCTCTTAATGTTGTACCAATCGTAGTAAAAAAATAATAATAAATTGTTTGACACAATTTATGTTTATAAGCATTTAAAGTTCAAATGTTTAGTTAAAAATTAATTACTTGTATCAAAAAAATATATAATTTAAATATAGATAAAATAATATATCCTATGCTGACAAAACATCTCCATTCAGAATCATGTTTTGTATACAATGTACCTGTCATTGCATTCAAATTTAACACATCCAYTATAGTGACCTACTCACCATCTCTATTATACAGCAGAGCGATATCCACTTGTCCACTTTTTTGTTTTTACCATCAATATTTATACAACTAAGTCATAGTTATAGTTGAGTTGATACATTATAGTAGTTGAATGTTGAACTACACATTATTATTAATGATTATGCTTTAAATTTTTAATTATATGTATTTAATAACAAAAATAAGTCAGTTGCTAACAACTTTTGTTGTTTTTTTTCAGAACTTTTTAAACAACTTTCCTAGAACAGATGTCTTTAGCATTATTGCAAGAGTTTTTCTTTTCTTTCAATTATTGACAGTCTACCCTTTGATATCATACATGCTACGAGTACAAGTGTTCGCAGCTCTTGAGCTATCAATATAYCCAAGCGTTTTACATGTTATCGCACTCAATTGTTTTGTGATTTTTATATGCATATTATTTGCAATCTTCATGCCACATATTGGAACAGTAATAAGGTTAGAAAATCCTTATATTTTAGATTGTGTATCTATGTTTTATTAATTAAATCTGTACATAAAAATGTATTACTGTATTTTTTTTAGATTTAGTGGTGCAATTTGTGGATTTGTCTACATATATACATTACCAACCATGTTACATTTGGCATCACAAAGAAGACGCAATCTTTTAACATTTGGATCAGTCATTTTTCATGTTTCAATATCATTAATTGGACTAGCTAATCTAATTGCTCAATTTTTTGTTTAAAAATAACTTTAAATTTTGTTTAAAAAAGTTTAAAGTAAAAATTGTAAATTAAAAAAAAAACATTAACATAGCCAATTTATTTTCATATTCATTAATAAGTTGTCTTTAATTTTTCATTAAAGACATTTTTTTTTTTACTGTGATCTCTTAGCGATAAGAGTGTGATATCCATTGACATTTCATTACGTATTTTTTTTTTAACTTAAGTTATTTATTTTAACTATTATTTATTATACACAATCTTGTTATACATAATAATGTATAATAAAAAATAAAAATACATTGAATTTATTGATMTTATTTGAATTTTATTTTAAATGTTCTGATACTTGTAGGAAAATTATATACTTAAATTGTGTATATTATTAAATATTCATTGTTTAGATCATTATTCATTACCTACTAGGTACTAACTACAGTTTACCTACATAATAACTGAGTATGAACTGTTAATGAAATATATATTGAAAGTATACATAAAAACTAATAATTAATTATAATTATAATAAGTATAGATATTTCCTATATTTTTTTTTAAATATAATAATAGTATCTGAGTTATTCAACTAACAAATTCAATCTTCACTGTTGTAATATTATATTATTAAACCCACTTAAATTGTTTAAAATATAATTGTTATCAATTCATGATTTTATTAATTTTCCTAATTTTAAATTGAAATTAAAAACAAATATTTTCATTGTGAATATTTGATCACAAATTATTCATTTTATTTGTTATTTTACTATACATATAAAATATTATGTCAGTTTGTCACTTACATAATATATTTATATACATTTTTACACTAAAATAAATCACATAAATAACACGATTACCTATAAAAACATGTTTTGATGTATTATGTTTTGGTCTTAGATATTCTATAAGCCCAAACTCTGTCAATTCCTGTTCCAACGACTAAATACGGTTCTAAATTTGGGAGAGGAAAGCGACAAGCAACTATTACTGTTCCCTCAGACAATTCCGCGGAGAACTTTTTTTCTAGATCCAACATCTATAAAACAAAATATTATTTTTGAATAGATAGTTGCTATGTATAGTTAAATTGTATGATCTTAATTATTTAGTATGTGGTTATGGTCTTATGAACGATTACAAACACTACTATATATATACAAGTATAATAATATATAAGCAGTTCTGCAGTTTTACATTATCAATACCTAAAATTATGATTTTTGACAAGCTAAAAATTCTAATTAATGCTATAAAATATTATTAAACTTATAATATAATGTTTAAAAATATAATTTATGATGTAATACTTTAGGGTTGCATACGAATGTGTTGCAATTGTATTTTTTTTATTATGGATATATATATATATATTCACGGAAAAAATTTTAAATTACTACTAACCATTTCTTCAACACCAAATATGACAATATTTGTGAACGGTCCTAAGTTATATTTCCACAAATCTGTACGAATAAATTTTGGAGAAGGCTGAATTTTAGATTTCATGGCGACCAAACGTGAATACATCACTAACCAAAAGTTCAACTCTATACCAACTGATTCAAATCCTGCTTTCGCTGTATTCATAACCTATATTATAGTTGTAATTAAAAAAATTAAAACTTTGAAGTAGTCATAAACAATTATAAATTCATTGTGTATAAAATATTTATTTACATACTATTCTTCCATCGCCACTGCCCAAGTCTACTAATTTTCCTTTCCGTCCTTTGATTACATTCAGAACATTTTGGATTTGTAAGTTGGTTGCAGGAACATATGGTAAACATACTTTCCGTAAAGCTGGAGATATGAACGGATAACAAATTATGCTCAATGCAATGGAAATACCACCTAAAACAACCAATAACAATAATCTGTAGGATAATGAATACTTTTATGTATTGTTTCAAACAATAAACCTTATCGATTTAAATTGGTGGGTACTCAATAAGTTCGATAAAAAAACATGGAACATTGTAAATACTTRAGAGAAATATATACATAGTATACATACATACCAGTTAATCCCACTAAAAACAATCCTCTGAGGCTTCTATCATTTTTAACTGACTGCACATTTTCAAATGATAGATTTGTATCAATAGGAAAATCACTGGACATACTGAAAAACCCGTTCATGTAAGTGCTAATTTTATACATAAATTTATACTTAAAATATAAACTCAACTGTTTTTACCTTATTACCATGRTTTGGAGTTTATTAAAATGTTTARTTTAAAAACACTATAGTATCCTACAAACAAGAAGGTAGATATTTTTAAATTGTGCCATACGTATTCATTTTTTTTTTTACATACATATAAAAATACATTCTACATCAAAGTCTCTACCCTATATACCTATTACCTATATGTGGGCAATGGGCATAGATAATATAATTTGATAATTGATTTATATATAATACTTATCTCAATACGATTTTATTTCATAACACCGATACGATCAAGATTACTTACTTCAGTGTTTAGGTTTAGGCCCGGGGTATCGTAACAAATTGTTAATGATTAATAATTATTCAATTACAAAACATAATTTGCTGACTAATTCTCGACTCTTAAGTCTAGAAATCCAAAATTCTGATTACTAACTTATTAAGTAATCTGTTAATTAAATAGTAACTCAAAACAATGTTTTATATACCTATAAAAATAATAAATATATAATATATAGCACAGAATATTACAATATATAACCAAAGCGTTGTTACTCGTTTTTTACTATATATAAAAAAAAATAGTTTACTATTTTTTTTATAGGGGGTAGTTACTTTCTTGTTATAATGATAACCATTAACCGTTTGAAAACTGTAACACAGAATATAACTGTAATCACTAACACAGAATATCACGTGCTATATATTATATATTTATTATTTTTATAGGTATCGTAACAAATTGTTAATGATTAATAATTATTCAATTACAAAACATAATTTGCTGACTAATTCTCGACTCTTAAGTCTAGAAATCCAAAATTCTGATTACTAACTTATTAAGTAATCTGTTAATTAAATAGTAACTCAAAACAATGTTTTATATACCTATAAAAATAATAAATATATAATATATAGCACAGAATATAACAATATATAACCAAAGCGTTGTTACTCGTTTTTTACTATATATAAAAAAAAATAGTTTACTATTTTTTTTATAGGGGGTAGTTACTTTCTTGTTATAATGATAACCATTAACCGTTTGAAAACTGTAACACAGAATATAACTGTAATCACTAACACAGAATATCACGTGCTCGGTTTTTTTTCTTATCAAAATTTATTTTGATTAATTGGGTGGAGTCCAGATAATACTGATAATAGATAATTTGTAAAATATTATTAACTGTTTGAGTTAAATAGCGAATAAATAAAATTGTATTTAGAAYATAGATATGAAATATGAATTTCTTTATTGAATGACGAAATCGAAAACGTCATTTAAGTATTTAACGTTAATAATCATCTCATAAAACATCAGACTGAAACTTAAATTATAATTCTTTAACGACTTTTATTATCGCCCAACTGGATCATTAATGTAAGTAGACGGATTACACCAATATGGAACACCTATATTGGCTATATTAAATACATACCACTTAATATATAACTAATATTAAAGTAATAGATGTATAAATATTTTTATTATTTTACTATTGTGTTAGATACTCGACTCAAGGTGTCACCTCCAAGATATTTCATTTGTCTACTACGTTTGAAAATGTTTGAAAATATTGATACTTGTTTGGAGAAATATATTCCACAGGAAGAATTAAATCATGTGCAAAAGATCTTGTACGGAAAAAAATTAGAGTAAGTTTATTTTATGGACTATGAAATTGTGATTTGATGATTAAACCTTTAACCACAGACTACACAATGTTTATTATTTTTGTAATATTACTCAGTGATTAAAATGCAAAAAATAGAGGACACATAACTCAATTTTTAAGGAAATACCCATGAATATATATCCTTATTTCATAATTTGWTTACTTAGATATTGTATACCGATTTTGAAAAGTGATAACTAGTAGAAGACTTTTAGTACATGCAATAGTTTCTTTTAAACATTATTTTATTTCTTAAAAAAATATATACAGGGTGATTCTTTTAAGTGGGTAAACTAATTATCTCGAAAAGTATTTACTTTTTTCAAAATATTTTTTTACATGGTTTCAAGTTGTTAAAAACCAACGTTTTTATTAAAAAATTATATTTTTAAATATTTTTTATCCTTATMATTTTTTAAGTTTTTTATTTTTTTGAATGACAACATAGAGTTTTAATTTCATATTCTAAAGCAGAATATTTTTCTAAGTATTTTGATTCATAAAAATCGAATTTAGGGCTAGTAGTTTTTGAATTATAAGTATTTAAAGTTTGGATTGGCAGAGTGGAGTGGTACGGGGTTACCCCGCAAAATGTTTGTCCACTACTCCGCTTGTCTAAACTTTAAATACATATAACTCATAAACTAATCGTCCTAAATTCAATTTTTATGAATCAAAATACTTAGAAAAATATTCTGCTTTGGAATATAAAATTAAAACTCTATGTTGTCATTCAAAAAAGTAAAAACTTAAATAATGATAAGAATAAAAAATATTTATAAATATATTTTTTTAATAAAAATGTTGGTTTTTTAACAACTTGAAACCATATAACAAAATATTTTGAAAAAAGTAAATACTTTTCGAGATAATTAGTGTATCCACTTAAAAGAATCATTCTGTATATATAGTATAATAGTTTTGTTAAAAATTAGATAATTCTTAATTTGGTATTTGTAATAACTGTTCTAGATATAAATTTCCACTTAGAAATAGTTAAAGAAAAAAGATAATCTCTATTTACATAGAGGTTAATCCACCTTATTATTTTAATGAAAATGACAWTTCAGTATATATGAAAACCAAGTTGTATTATAGTTAAATATTTATTTATGTGTGATACAGTTTTAATCTAAAATAATAATCATTTAAGTAAACAATGGTTTTAACTTTAAATTTTACACTTTTCAGGGAACTTAAACTGCCAGAGTCGTGTATAAATAATGTAGATAATGTGGAAGTTAAAGGTTTCAAATTTGATAGTTTAACTGAAGAGTTACGGGAAAAACGGTACCTATTATAAATGTTTTTTTTTTTAAATTATCTTAGGTTATGTTGTTGTAAATGTGGTTTGATTATAAATTATGAAACATAAAGTGTGGCAAGTAGGTAACCCTCTGCTGTACTATAGGAATTGGGTATACTTAGCTGTTAAGCAATGACCACTGTTGTGTTGGATTGTACTGAATGTTAAAAAAAAATGTTGCCTACATATTTTTTRGATATTTGAATTTCAGTAATAACTTCTTAAGTGGAATCTTCTTTTAAATTTTCAAGCTTTTTGACAGAGCTTAAATTCAATTGATTTTTAAATCAAAATTTAATGAAAAAAATAAACATTGAAGGTATATCAAAGAGAATCAAAATAATTTTAAAACTGTACAAAGCATAAGTTTACACATTTAATAAAAATTGCAAGTATCTGCTATTATTTGTTCATGAATTTCAACAAAATCAATTTTGCCAAAAACAATTTTTGTGTWAAATTCCTGTTTTCCATAATTCTAATTAGGTTTTCTCAAATATTAAGAAAAGTATTATATATTCTGTACTTTTAACTCTTCAAAGTACCAACTAGATTCACTTTTTTCCTAGAAAACTAAAGACTTATTACCTCAAAACAACAGACAACAAAAAAACATAATTGTAAAAGCAAAGCGTTTATTGTTCAGCTCAGATTCTAAATTGTCATGTTATTAAATAAAATAATTTGAAAAAATAAATTTTACAAGGATTGTAAGAATTGGAGTTATTCAAAATCAAATTGTTCTTCCAACAACAGCTCCTTTAACTGAACAACGAAACGCTATTTATCAAAAGATAAGCAAAATAATATCACTTGCGGCTGAAGCTAATGTGAATGTGTTATGCCTTCAAGAAGCTTGGCGTAAGACAGCTGACAAATAACATATACTATGTATATTTCTAAATAAAATATACATTTTTTAGCCATGCCTTTTGCGTTTTGTACAAGGGAAAAATTTCCTTGGTGCGAGTTTGCTGAATCAGCTGAAACAGGGCCAACAACATTATTTCTCAAAGATGTGGGTGTTGCATAATATAATAGTTCTTACGTTTAAAATCTAATAAACCATATCATATTATTCAATAGATCTGCAAACAGTATAACATGGTTATCATTTCACCAATTCTGGAACGHGATGAACAAGAGGTTATCTGGAATACAGCTGTAGTCATAGATAACTTTGGAAAAGTGATTGGTAAACATAGAAAAAACCATATACCTCGAGTGGGTGACTTTAACGAATCTACTTATTACATGGAAGGAAACACGGGACATCCAGTTTTTGAGGTACATAATTTCTTAAATTAAACTAGAAAAATATAAACGACTTATAGTRGATTAATTTAGACAGCTTTTGGTCGAATTGCAATCAATATTTGTTATGGGCGCCACCACCCACTGAATTGGTTGATGTTTGGATTGAATGGAGCTGAAATTGTTTTCAACCCTTCGGCTACAATTGATGGTCTAAGGTAAACATGAATGCTTAATGTAAAAAAATATTTAAATTTTTTTACAATTTTTAACTTATTMTTACATGTTGTAGTGAGACACTTTGGGGAATTGAAGCTAGAACAGCTGCAGTTGCCAATAGTTATTTTTCTTGTGCCATCAATAGAGTGGGTACAGAAACTTTCCCATCAGAGTTTACTAGCGGTGATGGCAAACCAGCACATAAGAATTTTGGTCATTTTTATGGATCGAGCTATATTACTGCCCCTGAYGGTACAAGAACTCCTGTAAGACATTTAATTATTTATTTTGAAATCTATTAAAATGATTTTAATAAAACCAACCTACCTAAATAAAATTTAGTTTTGAAAAATTAATATTTTATTATTATTAAGGTTTTGATTATTTAATACTCCAAAACATAAATAAAATGTATTGTACAGCTTATGTTTAGGTTATAAGATTTGTTAATAATTGTAATTATGAAATAAGTGCAACTCATAATATCATTGTTTATTTTTAATTTTTTGAATATGAAAAAAATATGTTATTTTTTCTTTAATATTTTTATTTCTTTATTGATGGAAAAAACTAAATATTAAAAAACAATCTTTATGCAGGTACATAAAAATTACGATAAATACTTTGGCTAGTACAAATAAAAATTATAATTTACTTTCTATAAATATAACAAAATAAACATGTTTTACATTTTATATAACTCTAATTAACATTAAACTAAAATTAATTTATATAGTATTTCTTTTGTCATTTGTAAATCTACCAGTGATTATCGTAAATAAATCATAGAAACACTGTTAATTAAAAAACTGTTCAAATTTATATTAATTTAGTATTTGAAAAATCAATAATTTCAAAAAATTAAGGCATCTATAGTTATTTAATTATTTTTGTATGTTTTATATTACACTTTTTAGAGCCTCTCTAGGACTCRTGATGGATTGTTAATTTCAGAAATAGACTTGAATCTTTGTAGACAAGTAAAAGATCATTGGGGTTTTCAAGTAATATTATTATTTTGAAATTKTATGTATTATTATTAATTTTTTTATTTTCAGATGACCCGACGACTAGATTTATATGCAAATTCATTGGCAGACATTGTAAACTCTAAATAATTATATTCACTTAAAAAAAGATTATCAATAGTCAATAAATTGTACACCTTATATAAAATTCTATATGATATTATTATAAATATTTAGTATATTTGTTAAGTTTATAACACATTGTAATTTTTGTTTTGAATAATTTAAGCATACTACATTGTACAGGGTGATTTTTTAAGTATGTCACCCCCATTTTTCAAATCAATAGTACATTTATTTAGATTCCAATTTTTAGAATTTTTAATTAAACTTAAAGACCATATTTTAAAATTTATAACATATTTTGTTCTACTTAAGGATTATCCTGTGGCGATAACAACTTCTATTTTTCAAATGAGAACCCCCTTTTTTACTGAAAATTATTTAGTGGATAATTTTTTTGAAAATTTCGATGTAATCTAAATCAAAATTCTAATGGGTAGTTTTTGAGTTATTAATTTGTTAATACTAATGATAATCTTTAAAAATGGTTTTGTAAAAATAAAACTCTATATAATCTTAGATATAATATTTATTATACTTGGATCGATTTTTACAAATTATTTATATTGATAAATCCATTGTAAATGCTTACTTTTTTAAATCGACTAAGCTCATTACCATAGACATATTATCCTTAAAACACAGTGAGTAGTTATTAACCGTAAACTCAAAGACTACTAGCTTGAATTTAGATTTAGATACATAAAAATTTTATAAAAAAAATCTTRATTAATAAAACATGAAAAAGGAAGATTCCTATTTGAAATACAGAAGTTTGTATTGTCACAGGATTATCCTTAAATAGGTACAAAAAATTGTAAATGATTCAAAAAATAATCTTCAAGCGTATATTAAAAATTCCAAAAATTTGAATTTTAATACATACGTATTTTAACTATTAAAACCGGAAGAGCATGGTCAAAACATTACCCTATATCACTTATTCCAAACATATATATATATATATATATATGGGTACTGTTTGAAGTAATTACAATTTTAAAACATAACTGTCAATAATAATCAATAAAAAAATCAATATATATCAACTGCACAACCTTTTATACTTTATTGTATTTCAATTTATATTAAGCATTTAACTGAGGATAGGACTAAGAAATTCATAACATTTGTAAATATCAGTTAACTTGGGGATATAGCGTCATGGGTCTATGCGGGTCGGGTAGCTTAGTGGTAGAGCAATCRCCCGACAAGCGAGAGACCCGAATTCGATTCTCGGTTTTTGACGTCATTTCCCCGGGAGAAGTTAACACATTTGTTATCCATCAATCCTTGGCCAATCCCCTTTCACTGTTTTCTGGTGTGTGTCAGTATCTATACATTATTATTTTATTTTTTCACAAAATTCTGGTTGATGGTAATGCACATAATTTAAGTGGTTGAATGTAACTATAACCTATGCTTCGTTAAACAATTAATGGACATAATATTTGGAGTTAAAAGGCCATATTCCATAATCACGGAAAAATAAAATATTTCAATGCAACAACATATTATAGAATACAGCCATCTGGTGTTAAATTAAATACCAAAGACAGGCTGATGTTGCATTAAAATATTTTCTAATTATTTCATTACCTTTTGTTGATTTAGTATAATTAATACAGATTGTTTATTACTTGTATAAATAAAAAAAAACTCATTGGATTGGCTATTGTTGCATTCCACCCTTAATTTACTTATTTAGAAAGTCAGAACAATGTACTTGTTAAAAAGGTCAACCTTGTGTTATTAATAGTAATATTAGTTTGAATTCACTAACTTTCAAATTTTAAATTAAGATAATACCTGTATCACAACGTTGGATATTTAAATTTTTGAGTAAATTATTACAGTTTAAAAAATACTTTATTTTTTTTTCAATTAAAGTTGATTTATTGTACCTGTTTTTTAGTATTTGAAATACAGGATTCAAAATAAAGAATAACATTTTTTTTWAAACTTTAATCAGTCAGAAATATAATATAATTATAAAAGTTATAAATGAATACAAATTGAAAATACTTATTACAATTTATGGTATTTATATGAATAGTAATTACTAATTGCTATTCATATTATTCCTTTGAGAAAATTTACAATAAACAAACTTAAAATACATTTTTATTTTGGATATTCTAAATAAGTTGAATACATTGTATATTCTTGAAACAACGTTAAAAAGATTAAACAAATAATACATAAAAATTATTTCTCAATTAATGCAGCATAAACACGTTTGAATGAAGAGGCAGGTTTGTTGTACAACTGTAAAAAATAATAATTGTGATCTATAATCAGAATTTTATAAAATAGATGAGTATGATTATACAAGGTAAATTTCTAAACAATTAAGAAATATTTTTGTAGACAAAAATCTCAATAAATGTACTAAACTCAATTGTTTGTAAAAATAAAAGCATTCCAAGAAAAATTTTAAATAAATGGTCTATATTTTAATAAGATGTGACATCAGCGTCAACCATGTCAAAAAATAAAAAAGGTAAATAATCTTATGTGATACCATTTAGAACGAACTATTGACATGTGTAATGGTTAAAGGTAAGTATATAGTACTATGGTAAAGGTCACCAAATGGCGGCCTGTGTAAAAATTGTATCTGGCCTGTAGACAAGAGAAAAAGTAAAAACTGATAATATTATATGTTCTGATGTAGTTTATCATATTTTGTTCATTGGTTTTTACAACCGCCTAAAATTTTAATGGTCCACAAACAATTTCAAGATTTCTTATTTAGCCATTCAATTTCATAAGTGACCCCTGTACTATAGTATGTGCATGGTTGAARGGAAAGTTCTTGGTAACACCACATTGTYTGCTCATAAACCCAAAGGATATGAAGGTATGAGCATACACAGTCTTGGCAATCAAGAACATACAGTACTGTCACCAAGGACGTCAATATCAATAAAAATAATATTTTTGCGCCAAATGTTTTGATTGCATCCTGAGATGCAGCACAATTAAAATTTAAATAACTCAGCAAATAATTGTTTATATGATGGCACAAAAATGTTTAGCCCATCAGCCCATACCTGATGTTTATGAGCTATTCTATTCTATATTTAGAACTGAATAATATTGTACTAACCTCACCAATTCGATTTAATAACATTATCTGATTACATTCTTCTAATGCTCTAGGYCCTAAAGTGAACCAATAACTAGTTTTTTCTGGATCAAGCGATACAGTTGTATCGTCAGTAATTTTATGTTGAAGATATTGATCTTTTACAAATTTCTGAAAYAAAAATTTGTCATATTTTAAATATTATATAATAATATGATGTATATAAACATAATTGAAAAATAAACAAGTTCTATACTAGGCTCAGTTGGAATAAATTAAAGCCAAAAAACTTAATTTCCATTTTTAAAATAACAAAAGCATATTAATAACTTGTAGCAAAATTAGATAATTCTATATTCAACTAATTAAAACCAAAATAGTTTAAATATATATATATAAAATTTAAATAGAATAATTTTAAGTAAATTTGATTTTTTTAGTCATATTTAATTCTTAAGTTAAAAAAAATAGTGGTTCCAAACCGGTTCTCCGTGAAATTGAAAACATTTTTTCTTTCCAAAATATGAAAATAAATGAATAAATATAAAAATATTCAAGACAAATAATTTTTAGTTTCAACATGTACAATAGTGTTTATACTACAATACAATTTAATACTTTTCTTTTGATTGATATGTAAAGTGTAATATATTATTTACTTTTTAAAATGTGCAATTTAAAAATTATATATTATATTTAAGTACTATTTTACAGATGTGAACCAAAAGTCTTATAAATAGGGTTTGGATTTCAAAAAAAGGTTGCAAGGTAATATAAATAATGAAAAAAACCCCTTAAAAWGTTAAAAACAACAAAAGGTATTAATAACTATTTTCTAAATTGTCATTGTTTGTGATTCATCCAACAGTAGTTTTAAGMTACTTGAACCTAGCTATCAAAAACACATCTTAATTTAAAGGTAGTATGGCTTTTTTGTATTTTGATAAACACTGAATTTAATTGAAAAACACATCCTAAAGCTCTTTTGAGAGAAAATTAATTCAGATTTTAGTCATTTTCATTATTTAAAAAGTAAAAACATTATTAAAATTTAAAGTAAGTAGTTTATATAAACATTGGTTAACTAAATAAATATTTACTCCTTTAACAGTTTGTTTAATCAGATCCATGTCTAAATTGAATTCCAATGCAAATCTCTCCAGTATATTCCACATTTGACCTGAAAAATTTTTTTTTTTATAGGTTCAGTCATAYTGTTTTTGTTTATAAATTGAACATAATTCTTATAATTAAATCGATATAACAATTTTGTAATTAGAAAATAAAATTTATAAAAACCTTCGCTGATTGGTGTACGAAGCATAACTAGAGCCCCTATTATTGGCTTAAGTAAAACACGATACTTTGATTCTTCAGAAGAATCAAAGTCATGAGAATCAATTTCATCTATATTATTTACAATTATGAATTGTTTGTTGTCATTTTTAATATAAGCTATTGAAAATCCAAAAGTCTGAAATGAAAATTTTTCAATATTAATRAAATTTGCACAAAAATATRCGTTTCTGAAATAATTACATTTTTTAAAGTGTTTACAACTTCTTCCATAACTCTTTCATAATTTTTTCCAATATTGCGACCCTTGAAGACAGTTTTCATCAGGTCATCTTTTTTAATGACACCTTTTGTTTTCATGTGCTGCGAAATAAGGTACTGAACACAGAGGATAGTGGCACTTTTATTAGGATTTCTAAATAATGAACATATAGTTTCATAACAAGTAAATAACTATTAAATCATTAACAAATAATTGTATACCTATTTGGTATTTTATGAAAATAAAATGTATAAGTTGAGTAATTTCTTATTAAATTATTAGATTATTAAGTGATCAGAATACAGTTATAATAAATTATTAATATTTTATGATTAATTAAGAATTATTTGATACTCACTCAATTTCGATCGAGTCCTGTTCGTCTGACATAATTATCTACAACTTATAAGGCAAGTGAACCAGTGTAATATTGGAATGGTATTTCGGAAATAATAAATACCGTATTTAATTGATTTTTTCTCACGATACTTGATTGAAATAAATCTATATTAATATTTAATAATCCCAAATTTAAAAWTCATCTCCTAGTTCTCCTACACTTATCTGGTATTGGCGGATTTGGCGGTCGTTCTTCTGTTATTAGTGTTATCACTTATCGCTTAACTGTTGGAGGGAAAATGGAATATGGAAAGTTTCAATTTTCTGTGCTCAAACCACGRTCAGTCGGTTAGTGGTCACCAATTCACCATAGCAATTAGCAAGTTGCTAGGTAATATTACTAATATCGTATTGCCTATTTGCCTGTACTTAGATTAAAACCATCGGTAGCGTTGAAAACATTCAATGTACGGTGTTGATGATGGCAAAGGAACCTTTAGTGAGCCATGCCCGTCACCTGCCATCATATCGTGTCCGGTCCATTATATATTTAAATCATTAATCTTGATTTTTGGTGAGACCGGTATGTGTTATGGCGTTATCTGCATAGATAATTTCTTTATGATCTAAGGTTATCTGCGACAATTGTTATCGTTAAATATGATAACAAATTAAAAAACGATAAATTGAAAATTCTAATAATATATTAATATTAATTATCGATAATTCGCATTCCAGTTTTATTCCACTGTATTGTCGTCCGTTGAAGTCAACGATTAGTGTTGACGAGTGTAAATATATCTTTTGGTTTTACTCGTTTGATATTTGTCCTCGGTTCGGCGTTTATTCGAAAGTCGCAGTGGATTACGACTTACGAGTTAAATAAAGTCATCATAATCACAAGCTGTCGCGTACCATGAACAGAAGCAGCTCGACAGCACTTAAAGAACATTTCGAAGACACGCGTCCRGGGTTCAGCGCATACTTGGACTGCTTGACGAGATCGTACGGCACCGGGTTTGGCGCGCTGGCGTTCACGTTCGCTGTGGTGCACGTGACGCAGCAGATCGTCATCAAGCGGTTTCCGGTGGTGCGCAATACCCACTTGGCCGTTTCTACAGCGGCAGGCGCGGCGGCTTCGTACGTCGCGGCCAAAGACAAGGTGCAAAAATGCCGGGACTCTTGGGCCGCTTCGCACGAACAGTGATGGCTAGGCGGAGTGTCCGTCTCGTCAGGTGGTACAGCGGCGGTGACGAAGACGGCACCAGCAGCGGCACAGACGACGCCCAAGTCAGAGATCTGATCGACCGACAGCTAAAACTGGCGCCGACCGGCGGTCACCAAGTGCTGGTCGTCCAGCCGTACATCAAATGGGGCGCCAACAAGGACAGGAGCACGAAGCCAGAAGTCAAGGCGGACGAGAGCCGGTCGCTGGTGCATACCTTGGCCGAATGGTCGGTGACAGACACGTTATTAGTAGGCCTCACGTCATACAGAAAGCATACGTTTTTCGGTCCCGGCAACGTGGACGCGATCGCGCTCCGAGTTGCCCGCGATCGTCGCATCACAGCGGTGTTCGTCAGTGTCAACGTACTGAAGCCGGGTCAACATCAGCATTTGGAACACCGTTTCGGCGTGCCCGTTTACGACCGGTACCTGATGGTGGTGCAGATATTCCGCAGACACGCCGTCACTAGGGAGGCCAAGCTGCAGGTGGCCCTGGCTGAGCTACCGTACATATGGTCTCGGATACGCGGTGCGCAGGATGGGTACGCCGAGCGGCTGGGCACAGAGGCGGGCCAGATAGCCCTCAGTGGCAAACTCGCGTTTGATGATAAGAAAGACTTGCTCAAGGCATATGAAAAGAAGCTCAAGAAGTTGGTGGACAAGCTGAGGAACCACCGCCAACACCTGCGTCACAATAGGACTAACAAGGACTTACCCGTTGTCGCCGTGGTCGGATACACTAACGCTGGCAAGACGTCGCTAGTCAGAGCGTTRACTGGTGATGCAGGTTTAGTGCCTAAAGACTGCCTGTTTGCCACGCTTGATGTGACTGTTCACGGGGGAGTGTTACCGTCCAACATGACTGTTCTCTATATAGATACCATAGGTTTCATATCAGATATACCGACTAGACTTATTGAACCGTTTGTCGCTACGCTGGAGGATGCAATGTTTGCCGACGTTATCGTCCATGTACGAGACATGTCTCATCCCAATGTTGTGGTACAAAAATCTCACGTTGAGAATACACTAAAAAGCTTGAGCATCAACCCAGACTTATTAAACAGTGTGATTGATGTTGGCAACAAAGTTGATCGTCTAGATAACTTAGAACATGATGGAAGTTCAGTGTTAATTTCTTGTACCACTGGGGAGGGTTTGGATGAGCTCAAGAAGAAAATAGAAAGCCAAATAATTAAAGCTACTGGTAGAAGAGCAATTAAAATTCGGGTCCGTACTGGTCGTGACGAATATGAGTGGTTAAGAACACACACAGCTATTGTCAATATCAATACAGACGGCGATTATTCTGTGATGGAGGTTATTGTTACCCAATCTGATCTAGATGTGTTTAAAAATTTGTTTATAAGAAAGAAAATAAACAATTAGTTGCACTGTAGTAAATGTTTTAAACAATTGTAAACATGAAATTAAAAATAATTGACTAGTCTTTATTGTATTAAAACAAAACAAAAAAAAATACAAAAGTAAAAGTTGTACATTTATAAACAGTCTTATTTTTTATAGGATTACATAACCACAAATTAAAATAATAAATCACAGCAAATAAAATAAATAGTTAAAAAAAATTGTACTCCTAAGTTGTCCAACCTTTGTCACAGGATAGAATCAACGAGTATGTTTGTGATGGAACCAAATTATCCTGAAACAAAACAGATAGATATTAAAATAGTGTTGAGAAAAATAAATTCCATGTAGATACACTAACTAGACATAAAAAAAAAAGTATTAACAAAAACGGATCTTTCAATTATTTTTTTATTATTTTAACAAAATAAATAATATAGAAACGCGTAGTGTTTTAAATAATTTATATTTATGCATAAATTAACAAATTAAATTTTAAAGATGTACCTGTTATTAAAATATTTTCATTCAATTTTGATTTCTTTTTTCCTTCATATTATTGATGTATTACTGAGTTTATAGTAGTTATTTATAACTTTTGTATGATTTTTTTTTTTGTCAAAGGCATCAGGTTAATTACAGTAACATTTGACATTATTAAAACAACTTACCACATTTAAAACATAATTATAGCACTATTTGTTCCTATGAAAATATTATCACTTTCCAGGTTAAATATGTTATATGTGGTGAAGAGCATTAGACTTCACTATTTTTTTTTTTTTTTTTTTTTTTAACAAAATTAGAGAATTATTCTCTAAAATAGGGGTTTCCAAAGTCGCCCGAATCATCATCAATCAACACGATAATAATTTATACGCATTTAAAAGCATCTCCACTTCTCTTTAAATTGGTTTTCGTTTGCTGAAAGTTAATTTATATCATAAATGTAATGGCTATATATCTTATATATATACGCTCCTAAAATGATAACATAATGATCAATTTAAATATTATTAATTATTATCATTTATCACGTGTTTTTTTTTATCCAGTACATGTTTTTCGTAGTGAGGAATAAGGTTTGGGTCGTGCAAATATTTGGTTATAAGRATTCACCTGAAACTTTATTGTTATCAATAAATTATTAAATATTGTAAGGATGATGTGTATATATAAATAATTATGTTACAGCTGATGTGAAATTTGTGGTCAATGCTAACATCTGCCAACAATACTGACAGTTGTTCACATAATTATTAACGCGTGTAAAGTTGAGGCAAAATTTTTAAAATTAAAAAAATAAGCAAGAATTAAAATATACTAAATTTAAGTATTTGGTACATAATATTGCAAGACGTGGAAATAAAGAATACAAAATATTTATCTTTGAAAATGTTGTTATTCCACAAGATTAAGTAGACACAATATATTTGATAATAAATTATAATTGATAACCTCAAATAACTTTCTTATTTTCAAAACTTATAAATACAATTTATATTATTGAATATTTAAATGAAGGCAAAAGCCACAATATGCACATCATCCATAACACACAAATATATAACAACTAATTAAATCAATAGTATATATTGTGGGAGTAAATATAGTATAAAATGTATATATAGTAAGATCAAGTAAATTGTAAATATTTTATTTTATTTTTTGTAAGTTATTATTTTATATAAATTTTGTTATTCCTAACAAACTACAATATTATTATAAATCTAAACATCTAATGATAGCATTAGTTTATGCGTAATCCATATTTTTATAATAGAATGATAAAAAAAAAATAATAATAAATAAACTGTATAAAACAATAAATACTACAAATATTTCTTCAAATTTATTAATTAGTAATTACATAATATATAAGTGACATTTTAAAATGAATCCACGGTTCTATCAAGTTTTAATCAAACACATAAATATAATTAAATAATAATTAAAAGTATTATATTAGTCAATTGTTTTGTTATTATTATAATAATCATCATCAATCACTGGGTTCGAATTTAAATTTTATACTTTTATAATAAATCAGCATCTGTGATATCAGCAGAAACAGGTGAATTTTAATGTAAGCGGATTATTACCTCTGCCACAATAGAATTTTTTTTATAATTGTCCTAACGTTTATTTTTGTTATTATGAATATTTAATTATAAAATACTTAAGAGATTGTGTTTTAATTTGTATGAATACAATTTAGTATTTGAAAAATAAATATTTATAGAGAATTTTATTTCATTATTCTTTCATTTTAACAATATTATATAGGTAAAGGAACTCAAATATTTTATTAATAGTAATAACTATTATTAATTGAATAAAAATATATTGTGGCAGTGGTGCTATCCTTTAGTAACAATGTATGTTCTAAGTATCTATAAAAGGTAATAATCAAAAATACATCAAAAAATTATAAACATTTTCCTACAGACAAATTTATATTTAAAAAAAATAATAATAAAATAAGTAGCCCAACAATATTTGATATAAAGTTATAATAATAATCTAATCAAGAAGTTTTGTGCAGAACTTGTATTTCACACTTCATTTTACAAATTATATTATTTAAATTGTATTCCTTACACAGTTGTTTAAATTAAAATGTTTTATCTTAAGAAAAATATGATTTGGAATTCAACATCCCATGTAATACACAACTTTTTTTGGATGTACAATACTTTTATGTTTTATATACGAATATAAAAAAAAAATATATATATAAGATAATCTTAATTTGTTTTACTAAGTGGAAAATTATTTATGAGATAATTATGAAATGTCATATCATTAAAAAAAATTATTCTAACCAATATTTCTCTTTGTTGTCAATAGGTATTCATTTACATTAGAAATAGTCCTGACAAATACCTGATTATTTTTGTCTGGTATATGGGGCGTTGCGACCTCCATACCGACTACCTTGATTACCAGTCGGTTTGGATGGTCCACTACTACCGCCAGTATTGTAGTTTTTCCAACCACGTCCACCACCACTTTGAGAATTATCTAAAATAAAAAAAGGGAAGTTACAATTTTGAATATAACATTAAATATAAATAATATAATTGTTTTACCTTGTGAATACGAATTTCCTGAGTAGTAATCATCATTGCCACCTCCATTATATGTTGCTACACCTCCATACCTATTAAATTAATTTATTATTATTATCATTTGACATTATTGAAACAAACAAATGATTCATTATTAAAATTTATAAAATAATATGACTTTTTACCCAGAATCAAAATGAGAATAATGAGATGAACCAGAATCACCATAGCCACCGTTACCAGGATAAGCATTTGATCCCTCCATTGCTGATCGAGCTCTATCCAATATGCTCATTACTTTGGCTTTTCCTGGAACTGGAGCTCTTGGCATACGAGGTGGCTGAGGTGGCATTTGGCGAATTACTGCAGGTGGAGGTGGAGGTGCATGAATTATTGGTCCTGGGTGACGAACAGGTGGAGCACCTCCAAATTGTTGCATTTCACGTGCTTGTTCTTGTGCAATTTGATCATTATGGTCAGGTATCAAAAACTTCCTAAGTTCAGCAAGTGCATAAGCAAGACGAGCATAAGCTTCAGCAGGAGGTGCATAAGCAGTAACTTGCACATGGAGTTCATCAGCAAGATGCGCAAACTTTGGGTTTAATGAACTTCTCATTTCATCTTCCTATAAAATATAAATATATTAATCAGCAAATTGTTGCAACTCAATACAAAGACAGTAGACGCCGCATACTAGGAACACTTTGAGACCAAAGTGAAATATGTCAATTAACCGATTGGTTTATACATGTGTTTATATGGTATATAAGGCTGGTAAGTCCCGGGACAATTTGTTTCAATAACGTGATTGTATCAATTATCTGAGTTCCTAATAAGCTGTTTCTACTGTATTTGATATTCATAATATAAATATTATCATTCGATTAAAATACTGCTTTATAAAAATATATGATATATGAAAATGTGTCAACAATTAATATGGAGCCTACCTACAATAAAATATTAAAAATTTTATATTTGTTAGATATTCATTCACTTCCTGTATAAGCACCTATAGTAAAAACTAAACACATACTTTCTCTTTGTTACGCATTGATCCTTTGCCCAATATTGCCATTTTGGTCATAGTATCTTCTTGGAGACGTTTTAATGAGTTTCCTTTAGGTCCCAATAGTTTACCAACAAAGTTGAACTGAAAATGTAAAATTAATTACATCATTTTAGAATAAATATGAATGAAAATCATTAAGCAATTTATATATGTTAAAAATTAATACCCTTGGAAATTCTTTAGCTGGAACCATAATTTTGGCAGTTAGCCGAATAGGTTTATCACTATTAATGTCCAAATAGGCAGATTCTGGTTTGCCATTGGTGTTTTGTGCTCTGGCAATTTCTAGAATAAAAATAAATAAATTGTACATATAAAATTATAGAGGTTATTATTAAAAATGGTATTTAATAAATACATTTTTTAACTAGTTAATTTAATAAAATATGGAATAATTTATTTAATTATTAGGATATAAATATAAAATTTAACAACTTAATAACTTGCTTTCATGGGATTTCACTTATTGGTTATATTTCCAAACGTTGAGTAATAAGGTTAAAGACAATCTCAATAGCATTTTAGCCTGCAATGTTGTAAGTCAAGTACCTATATAAGTTGAAGTTTCATGTTAAATAAGAAGTTTTAAATGATACCTAATGATTTTAGCTAATTTTGTGAAATTTAGTTTTATTTATGTAATAAGGAGTTGAATATCCTAGCATCAATAAATTTTATTGCTCAAAAATAAGTWTTAGAAAGATTGAAAATCAAAAGTTTGAAGATTTGGCTTAGCTGGTCCTACAATATTTTAATACCATATGACAAGAGTTTAAGGAATGGGTGTAAGTGTTAATCAGTTTTTGTTTGAAGGTGAGATATTTAAGAGCATGTCTAAAATTATACCTATCAATTACTGAGTTATCTTTTTTGTTTTATTTTAATTACTAAGTCTAATGACAGAAAATTTAACTTGTATCAAACCTGGGTACCTATCTATACATTTATTACATCAATGAATTAATATTAATTCTGTTGCAATAATATAATGAAGTGGACCTAAGATGATAAAAACCCTTGTTTAAACTAGAAAAAATATTTGTTAAGGTATATCTACAATAAATATAGGTATAGGTACCTACCTAAAAGGAACTTTATATTCAAAAGGGAAGGAAATAGGTGCTTACTATTTCTTGTGGCATAGGTAGGAATCCGGGTAGGAATAAAATCGAATAGTTAGTAAATACAGTGACCAATCCACATACAAGGCAGGGTTTACAGTTAAAAGTAAGTAAAAAATTAACTTCTGTAAGTACGATGACATAATAGCGAATTACTAACCTTCGTCGATGAGCTTCATCGTGTTCAAATGGGTGGCAGTGTCCAGAGCGTACTTCTCCTTGACCAGGGCCGACACATATTCGTTAGGTTTGGACTCGGAAGACATATCTCCGTTGGCGCCGTCATTCATTTCGGTTGAAGACATGTTCGGGAGAAGGTGGTGCACTTAAAACACTAGGGCGAGACGGTAAAATAATAATAAAATATAATTGTCGGTACGAAAGTGTTTTGACTTTACGGCGTTCGTGATTAGTGCTTAGTAAACACACGACGGTGCGGCGGCAGCAGGTCGGCTGTGTCAAAATTGTGTGAAGAAAAAGTTCACGACGGAGTTTACGATGTCTAGCGCGACGTGAATAAATGCGTGGTATGGAATAGGTGCAAAACGTGACGAACGACCAAAAAATAACTAATAACTATGTACGAGGATAACAAATCACAAATGAATTTGGTTAACTGGGGAACGCGCGTTGAAAATGGCCGACAATACAATGAACCGTGAATAATGAATATGTACGTACCACACTACYGCGGTAAGGGAGTGGGGGTTAATGTGCTGTGGCGGGTTGTTGTCGGTGGGACGGGCTAGCGGGGAGCATGACGCGCTAATCGGTCGGGCGCAACGTTTTGCAACGGTTGCATTACGTTTGTAAATGATGAAAATCGATACCACACAACCATGCACAACCAACGGGGCAACGGAAAGCACCGCGTAGCATCGAGTAGTGATCGACAGATCGCAGCACTACTTATGCCGAAGAATTTCGTCGTATGTGATAAACCCTTTACTGTGTGGGGTGGTACGGTTCGGTGAACATCGAGTGTATCGACCCCGTGGTTGCGTGGTTGACTCGCGTACTGATTACGAGTATGGCATACCTACCCACCCGCACCCCACAATAATCGTCCAAGTCCACCACCCACCGAAGCCGACGTGTCACTCCGACCGTGTGCTAAAGCTGCGGCTGACTTATAGGCTTAGGGACAGATCAAGAACGACGATTTGGTGAGAGGGAGAACATAAATTTGAACTCGAATTTGAATGTACGTCACATTTATCTTATACTTGCAATTTTCGAATCCGTCAAATCTATAAATTATTGTTTGCGCTTATACCTAATATTTTTAAATTATTGATTACCTACCACTGATGGTGTGTAATATGATATTGTATATTATATGATTACAGTGATGCAACTAGATGTAAAATGTTGGGGGGGGGGGTTAATCTGTTGCCCTCACCTGGTATTAAATGAAAAGTAATCAGGGGGCCGTTGCCTCCACACCCCCATGTATATTTAATTAAAAATAAAACAAAATTATACAATTCAGTGTCGGCCTGGTCAAGGCAGCTAGGCAGCAATCGCTGCCTGGGCCCCAGTCTTTTTTTAAAAAAGCTTGAAGAATATCCTATGGATTTATTGATAACTGTATAACAAAGTTATCCAATTTTAATAAAGATTCCGTATTACTTGAATTGAAACAATTTGCCTCTCATTATTTTAATATTATTCCAAAAAAACATGGCATAATGAACAATAATGATAGTGAAGCCAGTGAAGGTGATAGTATAGATGAAGTAATGACATCTGATTCAGAAGATGAATTTGACCCAATAAATAAATATATTTAATAAATATAACTCAATAAATAAACAGGAATTACAATTCCTGTTGGAAATGCATAGCTTGTGCTTTTAAAATTGTTACCCAACTATCTTGTCATTCTGGTAGGTATGGACAACATTTTGTATCAAGTTTTTAAATACATAATGCTATTGCCACCAACTTAAGTCACTTGTGAAAGAGTATTTTCCAAGCTAAAAGCAATTAAAACAAAATTAAGATCGTCACTCAATCAGCAGCATTTAGAACCACTAATGATTATGGCTATAGAAAAAGATATTAGGTACCTTAAATGTAGACAAAATAAAACTAATAGATGACATAGCAAAATCGTCAAAAGAAATGACAAGACTTTTAATATAATATATTTAAAGTATTTGTTTTTTATATAAAACTTAAATACCTACCTGTAAATTTAGAATAAGAGAAAATTTTAACTTTTTTTTTTATTTAAAATGACAAATATAGAATCTCTTATGTATAATGTATTATATTTTTCATATTTATGATTAATTTCATTTAATTATAATCAATACATTTTGTTTAGTATGGGGGCTGGGGCCCTTCCAAATAAAATCCTGCCTGGGCCCTTTAGAACCAGGCCGATGACAGTATACAAACAAGAAATGTATGAACTGAAGTTTCTTTGTTACAATAATAATTTAAAGTACGATCTTTGTATTATTTTAGATTCTGAGCGGAGCGATGAATGTATTGATTTTACCATGATGTGTGTTTTTATTTTATTTTTTTTTTGTGTCTGTCATCACGTTTTGGGGCAGTAAAAATGCTTCGATTTTTGACTTCAGTACCTCGTTCGATCAGAAAGTGAATCTAGTTGGTATTTTGGGGGGTCAAAAGTGAAAAATTCTTAATAATTATCTAAATAATCGAGAAAAACAAACTAAAAATTAAGGGAAAAACGGGAAATTTTACGCACACTCATTTTTCGACAAAATCGATTTTGGTTTTTGATGTAACTTTAAAACAAATGACCATAGATACATGACATTTTCACCGAATTTTTATATAAGTATATTCTATCCACCAAGCAATTTTCAAAAAATTTCGACTCAAGTTGAACTATTAATAGGCATTTGAAATTTTCGATCATTATTAGTTTTTTTWAAATTAATATCGATAAAAATTTATTTGTTCGGCAGAAAAGCTTGAAAATTAAATACAAGGCTCTTAATAATATTATATCTTATCATCCATCTGAAATAGATATTGGTTTCATAAACGTTGTCTTGGTACCGTTTAGATGAAATTTATTTTTTTAAATAATTGTTAAGTTAACTGGTTAGCGATTAGTGATTACACAATTCATTTTTCGCTATAATTGATATCAATAAAAYGATTATATTTCCCTTAACAATTAGGTAATATTTTTTATAAAGTAGTAACATTTAATGATGAGATTTGTATAACACAAAAATATTAAATTTAATCGTGTTTTAATTTTATGATGTTTTAGAATTATTATGTTCACACAAATAAATTATTATTATTAAATAGTATATGAGTAAGATTTAATAGGGCCACTCAATCTGCTTATGCAGCATAAGTTTAAAGAATATTTTAGTAGAAAAACTTGTGTATAGGTACCCTCATATTAAAAATGTGCTGTTGTGTAACACAATTTATTATAATAGTATAAAATATTAGTAGATTTTTAATAACTAAACATCTGTATGGCCATACTTTAAACAATATAAATATAATTTTGCATGGCCGTTTAGGTAAATAATTAATTAATTTCTTATACATTATAAATTTGTAGAAAACTAATTGAGATGCTACAAAATGTTAAAAAATCTAATAGCCCAAACATATTTAATTGATTAATATTTCTGAAAATATTTTATCAGTTTTTATAATGTTACACATTGGTCCACAGTAACTTCTTATCTTTTAAACTTTAACAGTATTTTATCATTCATTTATGGTTTTGACTTTACCCAGATGTAGTCAAAATCATTTCTCTTATTTTTTAAACGATCAACAGAATCTATTATATTTTGTTACAATAAGTGATCGTCTCAAGTATGTTTGTTTGTATTATACTATAATTAAAAATAATTGTATTTTATTAAAAATAAAAAGTTGAAATCATAATATTGAATTGAATGACAAATTAATTTTGTAGGTACACAATGAGGTTTCGTTTTATACATTTTTCATCGTTTTCCACAACTGAATACATGTGGTTTAAGATTTAGACATAATTTCAATGAATCTATTATTATAATCCCATTGTATTGGGGTGATTGATAGAAATCTGTTTGACTTCATGATCAGGTGTATCAATACTTTTTGTAGATTTAAAAAAAAATTATGAAAGGCCAGAGATTTTTATGAAAAATATTTTACATATTAGCATAACAATGATCAAAAATTTAATTTTTGCATTTTTGCATTGCTGTAAGCCGAACCAGTGTCTGTAAACCATTATGCTGTCTTAACTTGTTCCTGCCTCACAAATGTGTGCCAAAAGTTAATATCCACACATATACATATATTCATGTAATAATATAACATATGTTCAGTTAAACAAGTAGCAGAACAGTCARAACTGGTGTATATTATCTATAAACCCCAAAATTATTTTCGCATACCTTTATTATTCATATATATGTATATATATATAGGGCAATTATAGGCAACATAAAATGGTAGATAAATGAGATTTGAATACAGTTTTATACTTTTGTTCATAATTATAAACACAAACTTGACGTTTTTGATTTAACATAATACATGGATATGGGAGAATTTATTATTCAATTCTATTTTTATTTTTWATTTTTTATTTTAGAAGGGAAGCTGAAAAACAGTGGGGGGGGGCGAATTTCACAAGATATTTACGGATCATTTTATTAATATAATATTTGTCATTATTATTCAGGCCTGAATATAGACATATGATAAAATAATATACTGATATGACATAGCACATAGATAACGTCCAGGCCCTACAAAAATAGCTATAATATAGGACGTGTCTTCTTTTAACGTAACCTACGCTGGAACCTAACCTATACTTATAGTAATATACTGTAATATATTATTAAATTCACATGTTTTTGCAATTTATGTGTGTAATTAATAATTTTCATCTGATTTATGACAGGTATTTATGACCCGGTGACAGACGAGTGGCAAACCATATTATTCTAGTACTGTGTAAGTATAACCATGTTATAGTGTATTAGTGTAAGTTTCACGATCGCGGATCATTGCAAAACTTTTGGGCCCCAATGCCGCCCCCTCTCCTCAAACACAAGCTTTTCTCTCCACGGACCTGCATCTGGTGAGTTCGTTGCAAAAGTTCTTGTACAATAAATGACATATTTTTAATATAACATCTATACCTACGTGTTTCCACTATCGTACACGCATGGTTTGCCGATATATTGTTTCGTCAATTTCCTTCTCTTTTCGCCACCGAACGTTGCGTACTCTCTCTACTTGCGTTCACGGAAATACAGAATAATATAATATTAGGCCAATAAGATAATTGTGAAATTGTGAAATATAATTTATAAACCTATTTATAAATTATATTTATGTTTTTTAGCTATTCACTTGTAAGTCGTTTTAGGGTATCTGCTATAACTAAAATTCTAAACTACAGAATTTTAAATTGGTACGCAAATTCGCATCTTGCGTGGTAAAAATTACAACAGTTACTTGTGTAAACTGGTCACTTTGTCTTCCATCGAAACTGTATTGGCAATATTAATTATATCAATATTATAAATATATTATTAAATACTTTGTTTACCAAAAGAAGTATTTAAAATAAATGTGACACTATATAGCATCTGAAAACTATTTGGATGTACAAAATGGTTGCAATATCTCACCACAGTC